GACTTCAGCAGGTGGCACTCCTGAGATGTCTGGTTCAATTTCCCTGACAGAAGTATTGAGATGTATTCATTTTCTCCCCTTCTTTTACTTCCTCTCTTCCTCATCCCTACATTCCTTTCTTCTCTCCAGCCTTTCGTTCCTAATGCATTATTGATTTCCTACCATGCGCTAGTCATTGCAATTGGGATTGATGCAATGAAAAAAAATACAGGTATCACCATTCAGAAACACATTTGGCATTATCTATTAAAATTGAAATTGTGCCTGTCCTGTGGCCCAGATATTTAATTGCCAGATACTCTAGGGGTATCCAACTCGTGGCCTAGAGGCTGAATGTGGCCCAACGCAAAATCATAAATTTACTTAAAATATTAAGAGGGGTTTTGTTTGTTTGTTTGTTTGTTTTTTGGGGTTTTTTTTTGTGTGTGTATGGTTACCTGTCACAATGTATTTAATGTATGGGCCAAGACACCTCTTCGTTTTCCAGTCTGGCCCAGAGACGCCAAAAGGTTGGACACCCCAGCTAGAGACTCTTATGCACATGTGTACCTGGACGTGTTATAAATGTCTTCATTGTAGCACTGCTGATAATAGCCCCAAACTGGGTCCATTTTAAATGTCTATCTTTAGTAGAGTGGATGAATAATTGGAGTATTTTCAAACAATAGAACAAACACTGTGCAGCAGTGAAAATGAATAAACAATGGCTACTTGCAACAATACGGATGCATCTTACCTGCGCATGTGGGCTTTGTTCTGTGCCTCAGTAAACAGCCAATGGTGGGGTTGGTGTGGGCTTAGGAAGCTGACTGTGGACAGTGTGGGGGCAGAGGGTCCACGCTGGGGACACAGGCCCCGCTGGGAGGCAGGCGTGGTGGTCCTGGAGAGAGAAAATGCTGTGCCACACCCAGGCAGTGAAGGGGGAGAATGACAGCGACTGTTGGGAAGTAAAATAGACAAACCTGGTGACTGATGGACTGAACTGATAGGAAGGGAACCATGTAACATGTTGCTGAGATTTCTCACCTCAGACCAGGAGCGTGGCTGTGTCATTAACTGAGGTGGGAGCAGGACTGGAGTCTGAGATGGTGGAAAATGAATCTGCATGACATCAAATTCCATGACCTTGGGCAAGTTATTTAACTTCTATTTACCGTAGTTTTTCAGTAAAACAGAGAAAAATGTAAGAGTATCAACCCCAGAAGATAATAAATGCCTGATACAAAAATACACACTGTTACTGCGTAGTTTTTTGAAGAGTAGGTGTGACCCAGGTATATAATATCATAAATGAGATGCAGTCCTTCCTTCAGGGGTAACGCTAAAAGGCAGGTGTAGGAAAACTTGAATCACCTTGTGGCTCTTCACTGAAACCTAGAACACAGCAAGCTTGGGTGTGGGAGAAAGTCTTAGGACGAAAGGCACAAAGAATCGAGGTTACATAGTGTGGGAAAAGAAAAGGCAACAGGTGATTCAGTGAGACTCTAAGGGAAGGCTAAGTCAGAAGGTAAGTATGTTGCTTTGCTGAAAATAAGTCTTGGTAGGAATAAATTTTACCTATATAAAATGATCATCAGGGCCTTATATTAATATTTTTGGTGATTGCCAAGTCATATATATTTGTTATAGAAAATTAGTAAAAAGAACAAGTAAATAACACCTACAATTCTAATGCCCAGAGGTGCTCGTTAATATTTCAGCTCTATCCATTTGTCCGTCCATCCATCCATCCATCCATCTATCTTTTCTTTTTTTCTTCTTCTTCTTTAAAAAGAACTGGCATTTCATTGTATTTTGTTGTGTGTCCTGCTGTGTTTTGCACGGGAACTTACCTGGTGGCTCATCGAGCCTGAGGGATTTAGGTGAGCTATGCGAAGTAAGAAGAAAATGTCTGATGTGCTTTGTCAGTGAGTTATTTAGGTAAAGTGCAACAATTTCTTCTCTGGCAGTCTTAAAATGTAATCGAATAAACTCTCATCTCATTGATGGCAAGGGCACGACCCTGCTTCACTGTCCTGTTATTCCCCTGTATATGGGAAAACCCTGAGTGTGCTTTTCTGAGCACTAGCTCCTCTCAAAATTGACAGAAAGAAATATTGCTTAGGGTATGATGTAGGTGAGAATTTTATTAATCCCTCACCTACACTTGCCTGGAGGACTGACGAGTGCATCTCTCCCAAGGGGGTAAGGCTGCTCAACTGCTCATTTTTAAATATTAAAATCACTGTGAAATTCTACTCTGACTAATCAGGAATAAAGACGGGAAAGATTAGTGTCACATGAGCAAATCATTTTTAAATAGACTTAAATCTAAGAGGTGGAAGCTGCTTTGCCTAGACTATTTGCCTAGACTATTTATGTTGGATTGGCTGGGATAACTGTGTGTGTGTGTTTGGGAGTGGGGGAGGGTGCGAGAGAGAGAGAGAGAGAGAGAGAGAGAGAGAGAAGGCAAGTGTTCTGAAGGCTTTGTTTCTCTGTGTGCATGGTTTAAATGTACAGGCTACTGATACTAGAGGATTAGAGAGAAGATCTAATTAAGTTAGGTAACTATTTTTACCCAAATCACGTCTCTTTGGACCCATAATTTTCTCAGAATGTTTTTCTCACTGTCAGTGAATGTGCTCACACACACACTCACACACGAGGAGACGTGGTTCCTATCTCCTTTCCATAGAGACCTAAGAAGGTAGGGAAAATAGTTTCTCTGTAGAGTCTTTATGGTTGTAAAGAAATTTAAATTCATTCATTCATTTAACAAATGCTCCTTGAACTCACTGAGTGTAGGCACTGTGCTGAATATGGCGGATGAGAGATTGTCTGAAAGCAGTAAGTAACGACAACACATGTGTCAGCGGTGCACATGGAACTGTTCATCGGCACCTGTTACTTGGTGGCTTCTGAAGAGAAGTCCTGTTGTCTCCAGGATTCAGTGTAAACTCCTCCCCCGGAGAAGACTCTCTGCAATGTGGGCTCCATTTGCCTTTCGAGCCTCACCTCCTGGCATCTCCACGCTCCTCCGCCCACCTTATCCTCCAGTCGTTCCTGTGGGAAGGATTGAATTTCTTTTTTTTAATCCTCACCTGAGCATATTTTTTTTTTCATTGATTTCAGAGAGAAGAAGAGGTGGGGAGGGGGGCGGAGAGAAACTTCAATGTGAGAGAAGCGTCGATTGGTTGCTGCCCTTACATGGGCATGTCCCCTAACCATACACATGCCTCCTAATGGGGGATGAACCCACAACCTAGGCACGTGCCCTGACTGGGGATTGAACCCACAGCCTTTGTACTGCATGGGACAACCACCCAGCCAGGGCAAGAATGACATTTCTTTTTAATCAGAAAGAGTCTTTAGCCCCGTGTCTTCATGCTGCTGCCCGGGTCCTGTGGTCCCTGTGGGGAGAGCTCTGCCTGCACTGGCTGGTGTGATGGCGCCCACTCTCTGGGGTCTGGCTGCAGACTCTGGTGCCGGGAGAAGCCGTCATGCACTCCCCGCCCCATGCCCCGGAGTCCGAAGCTGACTGCCTTTCTCTTCAGCGTTCTGAGTCAGGCGGGACAGAACCCAGCTCCTGGGCAGCCCGGTCTTAAACCAGGATATCGGGTGCACATTCCACTCTTCTTTTTCCCTCCCAGTGGAGAAGCCTGGAGTCGGGAGTTTTCTCCCTGGGAGGACAGGGGCTGTGGCAGGTAAATGCAACAAACTTTCTTATTCACGTTGCCCTGGCTCTGCTGGGGGAACCGCAGCCTGTTAACTGGTTTGTGGAATTCTCTCAAGGGCAGCTTGGCCGTCTGTTGTCGTTAAGTCAGTGCCACCAAGGGGAACGAGGGCCGGGGATTCCCGTTCTGACGTCTGTCTCTCTGACATCACTCTCAGGTGTTACCCACATCTCTGTTTTATGACTTGGAGATGATATTGGTAGAACTTTAAATAGGGAAGTGGTACATCTAATCTGTTTTACCTTCCTTTCCAATCAAAGATTAAAGAAGTCATTCCAGAGCCCTGGCCAGGTAGCTCAGCGGGTTAGAGTGTTGTCCCAATATGTCAAGGATGTGGGTTCAGTCTCTGGTTATGGCTCATACAAGAGTCAAATGCATAAATAAGTGGAACAACAAATTGATGTTTCTCTTTCTCTCTCCTCCTCCCTCCCTCGCTTTCTCTGTCTCCCTCTCCCTCTCTCTCTCTAAAATCAGTCAATAAAAAAAAAATGTTAAAAAAGTCATTCCAAGCTTCTGGTTTTCCTGTGTCTGTCTGTCTGTCTGTCTCTAGTAATGGATCTAACATTTAATGAATGCTGATTGCAAGTCAGGTAGTCAGAAGTTACTATGATTATTCTTGATTTACTTGTGAGGAAACTGAGTTAAGAGAATCTAAGTAATTTACTCAAGGATATACAGCTGATAGTTGTCTCAGACTCAGTTTTAAAAAGCCATTTTGCAGCATGAAATGGATGTGTATATATATATTTAGTTAAATTTATTTATTGTGGGTCTAGTAGAGCAACTTTTAAAGATCATTGACTGTCCTATCATGGAATTATTTTGGGGGTATGATAGAAATCCTGTGTTCAGCAGTTGTTAGAATAATGCACCCGTATATTTTCTCTTCTTCCCAGCTTCATTGAGATGAAGTTGACATATAATATTGTGTGAGTTTTAGATGTACAATGTAATGATTTGATATATGTGTATAATGCAAAACGATTATACCAGTAAGGTTAGTTAACACCTCCGTCTCCTCTCATAGTTCGAATTTTTTTGTGTGGCGAGAACTTTTAAAATCTACTCTCTTAACAACTTGAAACAAATATTCTTTAGTTTGCACAAGGCTGTTGCTTATTAATATAAACCGTAAGTCTCTCTTTAACAAAATCTTTTGTTGTAACAGGCAATTATTGAATTACTATGGATATAATTTTGTGGTGATTATAAGTGGTTATTAGGCTCTGTGGTTTAAATATCCAAACGTAGAATGACATCAAAGATGTATGTTTTTGTTCTTTGCAGGACAGAGTTCATTCAAAGGGGCAGGATTTCGATCACAGGGGCTGGCTTTCTCAGCTGCGTTTTGGAAACTTTTGCAGGCACATTCTTAAGACAGGGAGCCCAGAAGGTAAGCTTGTTTCTATTTGGAACCAATAGTAATTTTAAGAAACCATGGATATTCCCGTTGGGTTCTTGAATAAGGCTCATAAACATAAGAAGACAGAAGAAGAAAAATACAGTTAATAAACAAATATTTGCAAAAATAATTACCCTCACTAAGTATTATATAAATCCAAATCAAAGTGAAAGTGCCATTTGTGGCCCATTAAATTAAAAATATACCAATGAAGCATATGTGATAATATGGAGAATACTTATAGTCTAATTAAGAAAAATAATCAGAATGAATAATTATATTTACAGTATATACAATATCATGACAACTATTTAATTAAAAAGATAATAGCTAATATTTATTGAGCACTTACTGTGTGCTACTCACTGTGAAAAGGATATTTATTTACCTCATTTAATCCTTACAAACCATTGAGAAAGCTGTTATTGTCATCCTGATGTTATGGATGAAGAAGACACAGGAATCCGGAGCTGTTGGTTGTCTACTTTTGTGGTTTTCACACTCTGTCATTGAGGGGCTTAGCCATCTAGGATGGTGATTCAGAGGACACCTTGGCATTTTAAGGTCCTACGTACCTTGTTTTGAGTAGAACAATTCAGTTTTTAGTCTATCTAATATGATAGTTCACGTGAGATTCATATATTCTATTTTCTTGTCTAGGGCCATGTCCATTCCTTGGGCATCTTTATATGCCTATTGCATGTGTTCTGAAATGGTTTAAAATTGTATTTATTTTACGATATCATTGTTATTAATGGTTATTACTAAGCTAATCACTTAGTCCCAGGATCTACTCAGGACTTAGGCATACGTTTTCTAGTAGGTTCGTTTAATGGCTGGTCGAAGGAACTGTTGTTAGGACCTCAGAGATTTTCTAGGCGGTGGACCTTTGTTCTTATTTTGCAGGTGTAGGTTCAAGGATAAACCTGGGCCGGGAGGCATTAGTTGGAAGGCTGAGGGTGATGAATGAGTGTTTGGTACTGTACGGTGTCCGTAGGCGTACTGCGGAGATTAATGGTGTGTTCCTGGCCTAGATGAACACATATCCCAACTGGCTGAGCCTGGGTAGGCCTGGGCAGGCCTGGGCATGAAGAGGGTGGTTGAGCTTCTGGAAGGTCTGACCATTACTCACTCAGAGATTATTGCAGGTTTTTCTGCTATACTGCAAAGTTTGCATTTATAAAAATCCTTGTTTAGATCAGGAGTGGCAAACTTTTTCTATAAAGAGTCAGATAGTTAAGGTAAAACTTTGTGGGCCAAGAGGCAAAACTGAGATATTCTGTAGGTACTTTATAACAAGAGAAACAAATATGTACAAGTTTTATTAAAAATATAATAATAATAACATTTAGCTGAACAGGGGTAAAAAATTAGTTTTCCCTACCATCATATTGGTTGTAAATGTTTATTTATAAAAACTGTTTATATCTCATGGACTCTACCAACACAGGTAGTGGGCTGGGTTTAGCCTGTGGGCTATGGTTTGCCAGCCCTTGCTTTGTATAAATAAATATTATTTGATTAATCCAAATCGGTCTGTGTTTGACCTGTCCATCAATCTGAATGTGTTAATGATTTAAGCATATAGTGGTTTGTGCATTCTGATCCTGTGAGATGCATAAAGTAGACATTAGTCCCATTATATTGATGAGCCATGTCTTGGAGAGCTAAGTGCACCCAACGTGTGTGTGGCTGCTTGCCTGCCTTCCTTCCTTGTACAGATATATATTGAATACCTGCTTGGTGCTAGGCGCTGTGTTATGTGCGGGCTAACTGGATCTCCTCGAGGTCACAGGACTAGCAGAGGGTGGAGTCTGGACTCAAATCCCATCATTTATCAATAAGCTTCACCCCTTGCTACTTTATCCGATGTGGCATAGCATAGGCTTTAAGGAGGGTGGAAGACCTGTACTTCCAACGGTTTCTGGCCTCACAGTCGGTCCCACGCTCTTTCTTTCCCAGTATAATTTTTTTATTGTTGACACCGTTACAGATGTCCCCATCACCCCCACCCATTTGCCTGCCTCCTCCCTCTTCCCTCTCCCCTCTCCCCTCTGGCCATCACCACACTGTTGTCTGTGTCTGTGGGTTATGTGTATATGTTCTTTGGCTAATCATTCACCTTCTTCCACCCAGCCTTCCCCATCCCCCAGGTTCTGTGCTCTTGATAGCAGAGAGGGGGTTTATTAATCTTAGTCCCAATCTCTGTCAACCCGTAGTACCTTGGACAGTGCTTTGTATATTTACGTGGAAATGAGTAGAGGTCCACAGTTGGCTTCTGATGAATACTATCTGGAAATAATCAAGTGACTAAATTTTTTAAGTGAAGAACCCCAGTGATTCCTCTGTATTCTCACTTTTTATGCTCAGAGGTAAGAGTATATATATTTTTTCTGCTGGCTTTTGCTTTTTCCATTTTTTTTTTTTTTTAATAGAGACTTAGTTTAATGAGTTAGCTTTTCCATTTTAGGAACTCTTGTTCGTGCCTTTTACCTTTGATCTGAGTGGTGATATTTTCTGATATCAGCCTGATTTCCTGATAAAGCCTGAACAGCTGAGCCTGTGTAAGTGGCTTCTGTGGATGTCACCGTGAGAGTGTTTCAGGTGACTTTATTTTCACTTTAGAACTTTCTCCCTGGGGCTGTTTAGTGGTCGTTAAGGTGGGATCCGATATCTATTTTTTCTAGAAACAGCAAAACTAGACATTTCACAGGGTTTATATCTCTGTGTTTGTAAATTAATTAAAAGTTGGCCCTCGATACAGACATCTGAGCCGAGGTCACTTGTGTTTCTGTACCTCAGGGGCTTGTTCGTTGTTTTTCTCTTCTCTCTTCACCACTCAACAGTGACTTGCAATTCAGGGACCTTTCTGACACAAATGCTGACTTTCCTACATTACTTGGTCCCCACTTTCCTCTTAGAACGTAAATTTGTGAGTAGGAGAATGGGGATTTCCCCTTCGTGCTCCAGTCAACAGATAGGTCCTTGAAAAAGAAGCAGTTCTGGACTTAGAGCCCAGTGAAGCCCATGGTCTTTGTGATGCAGCCCAAGTCTCCCCATCCCTCTGATCTCCCGTTTATTTGTCCACAAGTGGAAATTTCAATGCATCCCCACAGGTAGGTGAGAATGCTTTCAGTATATTAAGAACACAGGTCAAATACGAGGGGTGACCCCCCCCGCAAAACCTGGAATTTATTTATAAAAAATTGTACATTTATTCTTATGTGTTTAAACTTCAGTCACTCCCAAGTACTCTCTATCTGATGCAATGCACTCATCGAGATGTTTTTTCCACTGCTCAGAAGAGTTTTTGAACTTGTTAATTTTGATGCCTTTTAGTGCTTCTGCTGTGTTTTGTTTCACCTCTTCTACATCAGCAAAACATTTCCCTTTGAGTTTTTTTCATGGGGAAATGAAAAAAAGTCACTCTGGGCAACATCGGGTGAACAGGGAGGGTGGGGCATGGGGGTCATGCCGGTTTTTAGTCAAAAGCTGCTGAACACAGCGCAGTGTGGGCAGGTGCACTCGTAAATCACCATCCTGAAATGGGCGAACGTGTTGAAAGAGTCTTCCAAAAAAATTCCCCGAAGCCAAACGCAGCCTCTCACAGCAATGCCACCTGGTACACTGATACGCGTGGCTTCCTCACCTAGCGGGGGGAGCCTGTACTACAAGCGGCCTGCCCTCCAGAAGATAATTCCGGCTTTTTTTGGTTCTCCCTTTCTACATGTTAGGTGTTCTCTTTGTTTTTAAGAACTGAAAAAAAAATTCCACTCACATGCTTCTGTCTTATACTTTCTTTTTATGGTCACGTTTTTTTGGTCTTGTTTTGTTTTTGCTCCTCAAGTCACATGAACACACACTAGATTTTAAACTCAGAAGTTCAGTTCTACAAATGCTCTGCCTGGGTGTCAGCTGTGAGCCAGGCACCGGGTGTTATGCTGTAGACACAGGTAGAAATAAGACAGCTTAACTCCCTAGACATCCAGCTCAGGGTAGAAAGCATGACAGGCGGTGAACAAACATCTGTTGGTACGAAAATGTATTGAGCCCACTTGTTGTTTACTGTTCGGCGCTATGCTCAGTGCTGACAAAGATAGTAAAAAAACAGCCAGTGCTTAACAAGAGCTTAGTTGATGCCATGCGCTGTGTCTGACATGTATTACCATGTGTATTTATCTAAAGTCTATGGAATAGGCACTATGCCCAGCTTACGCCTAGAGAAACTGAGGTCCCTAGTGGCAAAACGGTTTTCTCAAGGTCATGGAATTAGAGAGCAACGAACTTGGAAGTTGAACCCAAGCTTGTCTGAGTCCAGAGTGTGCCCTGGGCGATACACCGCAATGCCACACCCATGGGCTCTGCCCTCAGGCCGCTAGAGTGGGGCCGGAGGCGAGCGCCCGCCTGAGCCGAGGGAGGAGCTGTGCCGTGTGTGGATGGCACATGCAGGAGCAAGGAGCCCAGTGGCCCTGGGAGAACTTGGAATGGACCAGAGGAGTGAGGGGCCATGACGCTGGTGCCTGAAAGGGCCTTTGAGCGGCTACGGAGTGTCCTCCTTCTGTTCAGCACCCGCAGCCTCTGTTCTCGGCCTAAATGGCGAAATGCCGCGCAGGTGGAGGGTGTGTTCCGCTGGTGTTTCCGCCATTTTTACTATGGTGACATATCCTTTATCTGCTTTCCCATGGACTGTGGGTTTGCTGTGCTTCTTGTTCTGAAAATATTTTTATAGTAAAGAAGAATATTACAATGTATATTAAGTTCTCGGTTGTGATAAAATGTACATGACATAAAATTTACCATCTTAATCACTTCTAAGTGTACAGTTCAGTGTCACTAAGTCTGTTCAGTGTTGTACAGCCATCGCCGCCATTCATCTCCAGAACTTTTTCATCTTCCTAAGCAGAACGCTGTAGCCATTAAATAATAACTCCCTGTTCCTCCCTCCTCCAAGCTCCTGGCAAACACATTCTATTTCTTGTCTCGATGAATTT